TGAATCCAATTAATTTCTAATGCCTAATTAAATACTCAAGAAAAAGAAAATACCAACTTTTGTATTTTGAAATAATATAGCATTCAAAATGGTAGATTAACTTTTAAAAATTTTGAAATTTAAATAAAAAACTATTTCCCAAAATTCAAAAATTTAATTTACCCAACAGACAAAAACTAAAATTAAAACTAAAAACTTAAACTTTAAGGTTTCTAAACAAGAAAAATTTAAATTTAAATTCACTTGTGAAAATTTCAAAAACATTAATTAAAAGTTGAATTAGTCTAACTTTGAACACAAGAGACATTATTCGAGACCCATTCAAGCTTAGCAAACTATAAAATCTCATAATAATCACATAACATGAAAATTCCATAAAATTTTGAAATAAATATACAAATAGAGAGTTTTGCAAACTAAAAAGGAAGGAAAAATTTGTGATCATGGAAGCTTCCACGAGTGTGTGAAACCTTACATGACATTTTTAAGATTCATGTAAATTTTATGATCTTTCCTGACGCTAAAAAATCATTATAAAGTACAAAAAATCCTTTATATGTAAGTATGGCAATCTGAAGTCCTTTGCACCCAAAAATGGTCAACACCTTTCGTGACGTTTATTAAACGTCATGGGAAACGTATTTATTTTGGATATTTCGTGAGGGTTAGAGAAACGTTACGAAAAGTAAAAAATTTGGAACATTTCCCGCAAAAAACGTGCCTTAACCTTTCGTGACGTTTTTTAAACGTCACGAAAAACCAAAATATTGACGACCATTTCGTGACGGTTAGAGAAACGTCACGAGAAGTCAAAAACTCGGAACACTCCGTCATTTCCCGCCAAAAACGCGCTTCACCTTTTTGTGACGTTTAGAAAACGTCACGAAAAACCAACTTTTTGCCGACCATTTCGTGACGGTTAAAAAACATCACGAAAGGTAAAAAAATCCTGAAATCTCATTTTTTTCCCTCCAAAAATGCGTTTTTTACCTTTCGTGACGTTTTTAATAATCTTCAACAGTATTTTACTGTTCATGAGCGTCACAAAAACTTAAAATTCTAGTAGTGTCCTCTCAATAAATTTTGTAGAAACCGTGGAATTACAAGGCATAAGTCTATGAAAAATACTCCTCAACAAAATGAGGTGGTCGAACGTATGATGGAAAGAGTAAGGTGTATGTTGTCAGAAGCAAACTTACCAACTAGTTATCAGCAGAGGCAGTCGCTACAACTATCTACCTAGCCTAGATCACTTGGAAGTTTTTGGTTCTACAGGGTATGTTCACATAAACCAAAGAAAAACGACACCTAGAGCCATAAAGTGCATGTTTCTTGGTTATCTAGAAGGAACTAAAGGCTTTAAAATGTAGAATAAATAAGCTAGAAAGTGCATAATCAATAGGGATATGATATTCAGAGAAAATTAAATGTTTATGAAGGATAAAGAACAAAGAGAAGTCTTTGAAGCATTAAAACAACCATAGGAAATGAGCGCAAGGTCTCACGTGGAGTTATCAACACAAAGGCATCTCAAGAACAGGCTTAGATCATGATGGAGCAGAAACTGATCAAAGTGAAACTCGGGTTGAATATCGAGCTACTGAGGCTACTGATCAATCCGAGAGTTTGGCTGATTACAATCAAACAAGAGATCGTGTAAGGAGGGTAATAAGTCCTCCTAGTAGATATATACAAGTTGATGTAATATCCTATGCTTTAAACACGGTAGCGGAGACATGCGAAGATGATCCTAAGACTTATGAAGAAGCAGTCACTACAATAAATTGGACCTTTAATAACGGGCATTGCCCGTCATTGAAATGAAACGATGACGGTCACTCTATTCAAGTGTCTTTGTTTCTTTTCAATGACGGACAATTTTAATGACGGTCTTTGCCCGTCATGAAAAGTTTTATTTTAATGACGGGCATGCCCGTCATGCAAGGGTAACCATGACGGACAATGACCTACATCTTTACGAGTGTCCTTGTTTCTTTTCATGTTTCATGGCGGTTATCGACCGTCATGGTTTGTGCGTCATTGTATGTTCATCGTCATTTGTACGACATTGTTTGTACGTCATGAAATGACCATATTTCATAACAGAAATTGACCGTCATTATTTCGTGAATAATTTAATTAAAAAATAGTTGGTCGGCAACCACGTGGCTAACCAACTAAACCAACTAAATTTTTATATTCACGGGAGTATGCTTAATTTCATAACCACTCTTCACAAAGCAACAAAATGACCCATTTGTTATAGAAAAGAAACTAATAATGGATGTCTTGTGCTCTAACACCAAATAAGCTATTACGTGGTAAAACATGGGCGGACGACGATGAAAATTGAAAATGAACATCAACATTCTTGCAAACAAGCTTATAACAACAATATTGATACATAATTCAAATACCAAATGATATAATTTCAACTGTACTACTTCACAAAATTTTTATCTGAGACAATGAAAAAAAATCAAACAAACTASAAGTCTACCAATTACCTATTCAGCATTAACGACGTCTCTTTTGCAATTGTCCTGAGTATTCTTGAACTCTCAAGCCCTTATGATTAGATTCTGTGAGAGCTAGAGAGAGAATAAATTATTACATGAAATTGAATAAACTCATCGACAAACAAATAAAAGTGTAATTGTAAGAAAACATACCTTTTTCTTTTTGAAGAAGGAAAATCTAGAGAGGAACTGAAGAACATTAATTTGCAGAGTTTGGAAGGTATAGCATCAACTTTCAAAGAGTCCGACAGAGGTGGGAGATGGTCGTAGTTTCCATGAGCAGCTTATAATTCCCTCTCTCTTCACCGCCTTCCTTTGCTTCACATATCTCTCTCTAATGAAATTTGCAGCCCTACATCATAGTTGAGAACCGGAGTATAGCCTCAAGCACCATCGTCGATTAAGAACGACGAAAACTCGATCTCAGACGGTCCTTCATCATACCTATTGCTATATTGTGGAGAGATTTGCATTGTCGTTCATTACACCATTGTAGAGATTCACACCACTATTCTCCAATTACAGATTTGGTTCGTCGACATAGATCTAGTTCGTCGTTCTTTCGAGTGTTTGAGATGGAGATTTGGTTCACCGATAGAGGTTGGGTTCGTTGGAGGCACAATAGAATCGAAGGATGCTAGGTCGCATATTTGAGACAGAAGGAGCGTCGTTTGTGTTATCGACAGAATTAGGCCTTGTTTTTCTTTTTTTTTTTCGTTTATATAGGAACCATTTAATGACGGGCAATGCCCGACACTAAAATAATTATATGATGTCGGTTAAAAACCGACATTGTATCTTACTTTAAAAAATAATTTATTTCGGTACACGTTTTTTTAACTGTCCGTCATTGTTTCTCCGCGTGATTTTTTTTGTCTGTCATTAAATCTCAAATTTGTTGTAGTGAGTAAATTCACAACTCTAGCTTCTCAGTGGTTTAAAGCAATGCAGGAGGAAATAGACTCTCTGAACAAGAACAAAACATGGGACTTGGTTCCTGCTCATCCAAGTCAAAGATTGGTTGCTTCCAAGTGGGTTTATAAGAAAAAAATAAACGAACCGGAAGACGGAAGAAGGAGGTGTTAATTACAAAACAAGATTAGTTGCTAGAGGATTCACTCAAAGAGAAGGCCTTGGTTACAATGAGATATTCTCACCAATTGTAAAACATACCTCAATCAGAATACTTCTTGCAATTGTAATATGTCAAAACCTAGAGCTTGAACCAACTAGATGTCAAGACAACGTTTCTTCATGGTAATCTAGAAAAAACTATATTCATGCAACAACCAAAAGAATATGAGGAACCAGGGAAAGAAAATATGGTGTGCCACCTTAAATGGTCTTTTATGGGTTGAAACAATCTCCTAGATGTATAGGGGATTTGATGAATACATTGAATTTTAAAAGAATCAACTAGGATGCTTGTGTATACTTTAAAGACTCACACCAAGGCAATAAGGTCTCTCTTTTACCGTTTGTTGACCATATGTTATTGCTGGAAAAGGATGGAGGAGATAAATGAAGTAAAACTTTTGCTAAATCAAGAATTTGATATGAAAGATTTAGGGGCAGCTAGAAGAATTCTTGGAATAGGAATTTCTAGGGATAGAGACGAAACTGGATATTTGTTCGTCGGTCAAACAAAATATACCAACAAAATACTGAAGAGGTTCAAAATGGACAGTGCAAAACAGACAACCCCTATTGCTCAACATTTTAAGCTTTCAGGAAAAGATTCACCTAATTATGAAGCATCGAGACAAGCTATGAACAATGTTCCATATGCTAATGCCACTGGGATTAAAAGGCTATTCAGATTCAGATTTTGCAAGTGGAATTGACAAAAGGAGGTCACCTACTGGCTATGTTTTTCTGTTCGAAGGAAATGTGGTTAGCTGGAAATCCTCACTACAAACTATTGTGGCCCTTTTCACAACAAAATCTGAATTGATTGCTTTATCAAAAGCAACAAAAGAAGCCATTTGGCTTAAGGGAATAATTGAAGAACTAGGTTATCAACAAGACAAAGTAAATATTTTGTACTGTGGTAATAAAAGTACTATACATTTGGCTCACAATCAACAATACCACGAGATCTAAATATATAGATGTGAAAGTCGTTACACTTTGTGAGGGAATCAGTTGAAAAAGGCACAGTTGAATACAGAAAGTCAATACACATGAAAATGTTGCAGATATGCTGAGTACTAAAGCTGTAGAAAGAACAAAGTTTGGGCATTGTTTAAA